GGCTCAGAACTTTTTACTTCACCAATATTTGAAAGAATCAAAACAATATTGGATGAAAAAATTATTTCCTTGTCATTTTTCTAATAATTCTTCAATATTAACATCCTATGAAAATATAATAATTTAAGCACACATGATTAATTAAAATATAGAAAAAAAATCTTTATCCTAAAGAAAAATTCGAATCCTCCAACTATTTTCCTTTGATTGTTAATCTTCTGTGATTGTAAATCAAGTCAAATATTTGAAAGCAGATATTTTAGATAATTAAAAACAACAATTTTAAGTTATTTGTTATTAAAAAGAAATAATATGTTTGCTTATTAATTAGCACAGACAAAACTTATTAGTAAATAAAGATTGAATGAAAAAAAATGGTTAAAAATAAAGTTTTCATCTATATTCCAAGAACAAATAAGATTGTATTCTGTTTGCATTTAAATGTAGATTGAAATAGTAAAGAAGTGACTATTTTTATGTTTAAGTTATTTTATATTTCACCTGTTTTTAACAAAATTTTTCAATTTATCAGAAATTTCCTAACATTTTCGTCACTTATCAGCAATGTACAATATTTGAATGTTTATTAGAAGCGATGATTTTGGTGTTCAAATTATATTTGTAAGAATGTATTGAAATTTCCTGTTGTTTTTTAATAAGTTTTTTCCATTCTTTATCGAAAGTCCAAAAGTCACGATTATTTCTAAAACAGTTTCAATACAATTAATTTTGTATCATATATAAACATTGCTTAGAAATAATATCTAAGATTTCCTAGAAACCTATTTTTTGATGCATCAATCAATTTTTTTAACGTATGTGTAAATAAAGCCCTAAAAGAAAGGTCAAAGTTTACAACAGACAATTTCGATGAGTTTCACTTATGATTAGATAAAACAAAATAATTGATTTATTGATCCTGTCGTTATGGAAAACACGTGGTATTTAGTAATATTATGTTTTTTGTCTCCTAGCAATTACGCAAGTAAAGAAGAAGAAAAAAAAACTAGTTCTCCATGAAAATTAAAAAAAAAATGACTTAAGAAAAATTTCAGTATTATTATTTCATAAATTTAATATTGTAAAGCAGTGATTCTTAATCCTGGTTGTTTTTCTACCCAAACTTATTCTTCGAGGGGTCGCAAAAACTGTTTAGAGAAACTTTGGTCGCTGACCAAAAAGTTTAAGAATCAATGTTGTAGAGTTGTAGTAGAATTAGACATTTTCTGATTACAAGAAATTACAAGAAAATTACTGAAATTTCTTAGATAATTGCAGAAAATATATAATTAAAATATTTAAAAAACATTGAATTATGTGTTTTTTTTAATATAATGTAACGATTTGAATAGAAAACATAGAACTGTTTACTTAATAAATAATTGAACAAAAAAAAAACTCGTTAAAAGATAGATTTACAAAAGTATTTAACTTCAGACAATTGCGTTGAGTTTCACTTATGATTAGATAAAACTAAAGAATTGATTGATCCTGTCGTTACGGAAAACGTTATTTCGTAAGATTTTTGTATTTGATCGTCTCGTAGCAATTACGCAACTCAAGAAGAAAATAATTAAAAAAAACTAGTTCTCCATGGAAATGAAAAAAAAGCCTACTCATTAATTAAGCGCTTTTCTTTTATTTATGTAAATGGAGCGCAGACGGATTATTCAAATGATTCGTTTTCCCTTGTTTCTCTTTCGTTCTCATCCACTTCTTCCTACAGTTACTACTACTATTTACTACATGGTTCGTCGTCGGCGCGCGTTCTACTGTGAATTTAAATAAATTCATATGGGCTTACTATTATATCATTAAAGTTGTCTAGACTGCGCTATAAATATGTAAAAAAAAAAATTATCTGACGGGAAAGAATATTACATTACAACAACAAAAAAAAATCAACAACTAGGAACGAGTTTATATAGGGCAGACGGCATTTAAAACGAGACGATGCGACACACGGTCAAATCGTCGTCAGACAGACAGTGATGACCGCACGCTTCTCTCGATCGTATACACATCTACACACTCGCACACTTATATAAATATATATATAGAGAGAGAAAGAAAAAAAAAAGTACGCACACTTGTCTACTCATAGACGTACCCATACATACAGATGCTCTGATCATCATCGCAAATGCTTTTGTCACCGCAGACGGTTAACTACATGCTGGATGTAATTGGATGCTATAACATATTACACGCTCAAATGATGCTGATGATGATGATAGATCATTCCGACATGCAAGATCAAAGGGAAGGAAAAAAAAAAATTATACATACGCATCGGTGTAATCGTTAGAATTAGGCTTGAAATTGGCGGGAATTTAGTTTTAAGTGGATTAGACCGGCACTTGTCTATTATCATTAAGGTTTTTTTATAGTTCTTAAGTAACTCTGGTCTAAATAAACAACGCTTTACACTACTTAAGACGGACGATTTCTCTAAGCTTCTGTCTCCAATTCCAACAAATTCAAGTTAATTCACAAGCTACAATTTCATTTTTTGTTAAATCTATGATGTAAAATAAAAAAATATGTCAGATTTCATCAAGTTAATTTTAATATCTACTTTATAAACTTAACAATTTTACAATCTTCATTAGCTATCAAACAGTTTCTCAATTTACAAATTAAATATTTTTTTTTTGTATCAAAGATATTTTTAAATGAAATAAAATGGAAATAAAAATAATTGAAAATAAAAACTTCAGTAAATTATTTCATAATTAACGAACATTTGGAATATGAATTTTTTTGATTAATTGCAGAAAAAATGTAATTTTCATTCATTCAATTTTGAAAAAATCATAGAAATATTTTCATTTAAATTTATTTTTTTAATAATTATTGAAAAACTTACTGAAATGTATTGAATAAATGCAAAAAAAAATCTAAATTCACACCGTTTAAGATTTTATATCAAATTTATATAATTAATATTTTTAATACTTAACAGTTTGCAGCAACATTTTCAAATCGTTAATTTCATGTAATATTCATATATTATCTATTATAAGTAAATATTTTGTAATGAAAGCATTCTAGTTTCCAACGATTCGAATACAAACATTGAACTTTTTACTTAAAAAATGATTTTTCAAATCTCATGATTTTTATTTACAAACAAAATATTTGTAAAATAATAAATTGAAACTAGTTTTTTTTCTTCCACATAAAGTAATAATTGATTATATAAGAGAATTGTAGAATGTTAGAATGATTTTGCAACTGTTGTGAATGTTCTTCACTAATCAATGAGTCGAAATATTAAGAAAACAATCACAAACAACAAACAGTAAACAAAAAGTGCGACCTTCGTACATCTAATAATGATTGTGCTGAAATGATTTGCTAAATGAATGAAATTCAATTGTGTTTTTTTTGTACAAAAACAATGATTCGATGATTACTTAGAAGTAATATATACGGTGAGATTTTAAAGGTCAAGGATAATATTTTACGGTGGATCAATGAAAATCGATTACAATACAATTTTAATTTATTTTTCTTTTTTGTAATTTCATTTTAGTTGTGAATGAACGTTGTGAATTTTTTCTATACAGTTCGCATATCGAAACAATGAATTGATTTTGGGCAAGTTGTACGTAAATGTATTGATTATACAATCAGTTAATTTCAATCATCGATTTCCTTTGCTTTTTTTTTCTCATTAAAATGTTACATGAATCAACGACCTCAAATCGTCATCAATATTAACTTATATCACTCGCATAGTGCTGTGTAATTGATTCCGTACTGTTTGAAACCGCACAAAGAGAGACTTGACTGTATAAGCAGCATAAAACTGGTGAGACTTTCCAATTTAATTTGAGTATAAAATGATGTAATTATCTTCAGTGGTTTTCACTAAAAACTAAAAACTGCAGATTCTGCAATAAAATCATAAAAAAAAGTTCATTAGTTTTCGAGTTATTAATTAAAATCGTTTATTTTTCTATCAAACTGCGAATTTAACAACCTGAAAATCTAAACATCAGTGGGCTCATTCGAAAGCTGACAGTCTAGTTAGTTTCATTCTTGATCAATTACGTAATTATCCTGAAAAGTAACAAAACGTGAAGAGATTGCATTTTCAGTAACTTCACATTTGACACCTCGTAGCAGACGAATGGATAACAGCTGAAAGATTTTAGTAGACTTGCTGGAAAGGTGAGACATTGGATTGCAAGATTTAATTATCTTCATCGGTTCTCAAGTAATTCATAAAAAACTAAAGACATGGAAAATACCATTGGTAATTGGACAAAATTTTCGGTAATTTTCAGGCACTCTGAAAATCGAAATATCATTGCAATAGGCGAATAGATGACAGCTGAAAGCTTTTAGTATACTTGCTCTAAAGATGAGACATTGGATTGCAAGATTTAATTATCTTCATCGGTTCTCAAATAATTCATAAAAAAAACTAAAGACATGGAAAATCCTATTGGTAATTGGACAAAATTTTCGCTAATTTTTAGCCACTCTGAAAATAGAAACATCGTTGCAGTTATTCTGAAAAATAATAAAACGTAAAGAAGTTGCATTTTGTGCAATGTCGAACACTGATCAGTCTCTCGTTTTCTCCAAATGATTTATACAAAAAAAAATGTCCTAGAATTGTATCTAATTTAAACATAGACAAATATGTAAATTATGTTTTTTTTATGTGTGTGTGAAATAAAGGAATTATTATCAAGAACTTTGTAATCATGTTGAAATGATTGTTTGTAATTTCATTTAGGTAATTGTTATTGATAAGGATTTTGTTGGTTTGTTTGCTGACGAATCTGCGAGAAGGATAGAAAGATGTGGTAAGGAGATGTGAAAGATGTGGGAAGGAGAAAGAGGTTGTTGGAGGCAGGAGCAGACGCGGTGTCTGGTCGTCGTCTCGCGCACCACGCGACTTCTCGACCACTCCGGACGGGAGGAGCGCGCCTATTATTGTCGAGGTTCGCGTTCTCTTTTCAATAAAAGCAAGCATGCGAAGACCGTCTATAATAAAACACCGTAGTTCATAGCGTTCAGTTGATCAGAAAAGTCCCATCTGCATACAGGACTTGAAGGGTCCTCCTTAGTGAAGATCATCTAAACACCGTAGATTGTAACGACGTCCACAGCAAAAGAAAAAGCACTTCCTCATCCGAAATAGAGGAAAGAAACATCGTCATGCAACTCCTGGCGATAATGCTGTTGGTCATCTGCGGATGTTCATCATTTCCAGCCAATGATGAGCAGAAGCTCGAGACCGACATCCGCAGCCTTCTGGACCTCTACCTCAACGATGAGGTTGCCAACGACATATCATCTTCCATGGAAGGTATGCAGTCAGATCAACCGACTGCACCGTCGTTACCCACGGAGAACATCTTAGCCGATGATCCCATAACCGAGGAACCAGAGTATCTTCAAAAAAGACACAGGTACAGCTATAAATAATTACTAAAAACTTTAAAGATTTATTTTTATACATCTTTCAATCCTTACTTCTCAAAACTTTTCAGTCCAAATTAACCAAATTAGTCACACTTCAAATTCCCCAAAAAAAATAAACCACATTAATTTCTACAAAATATGAATATTTTTACGTTTCATTACAAAATTTCTAAGAAATAGTTTAGATTAACAAAAAAATTTGTTTATTTTTTGGACAAATTTTATCAATTCATACGAGATTTAAGCCCACTTCTAATTCTAAAATTTTCGATTAAAAATTTTAAAATAAAATTGTAATTTTTTTATATTTTGTATACAAAACGAAAAGTATTTTCAAAAATAATTCAAATGTTTGTATTCATTGATTTTTTAAAACTTATTGTTAATATTTAGAAAGATGATTTGATAATTCTTCAAACATGACAATTATCATTGAGTAAATAATCAATATTTTTTTACTTTCTTATGTAATTCTAAGAAGTCATCAAGAATGAACCAGTCATTATCAATCACGATATTTGATAATCTATTGTTTGTGTGTACAATTCAAACAATTGTATTGTTGTGTATTCTCACTCGATAAGTGTATGAGTTTTTATGAATGAAAGGCGAGTCTATAGTAGCGAGTTAAGGTCAGTTATTGTACGACCAACGAAAATGCGTGTACGTGTGATGATTTCATTCACTTTCAATCGAACTTGAATATTGAATCAATCATCAGGGGAGCAAAAAAAAAGAGAGAACATACTCTAATACTTAGAATTAATTATCAGCTACTAATCTTTAATTTCTGAGAAACAAAAGTATAGAAAAAAAAATGCAAATATCTGAATCGATTATTGCAGAAATCACGATTTTTTTTGTACTTCTTGAGATTTAAAGTTCACGTAATCAATTTTCGGTTTAATATTTTTAAAATAAACTTTCTTATTTTTTAATTAAGCTTTAATTGATGAAAATTGTTGTTTTCTTACAATGTTTTATTAAGTTTTTATTGTTTTTTTTTTCAAAATTTAAGAATAATTTATGCAAATTTTACATGTTTTTTAACAAATTTATTAAAATATATTTGATAATAATTTATCTATCTAATTTTGTCTATGATCTCAGAGGAAATTTAAATATTGATGTCTGGACAAGAGAGAGAGATGAAAAAAAATAATTATTAATTAATTTCGTAGAAAAATTTGCATAGAGCGAAAAAAATATATATAGAGAAGGATTTTATATTTTTATAAACTTAAATAGTTTGTTTATTAGTTTATAAGTTGAAGAAAGTATAAGAATATTGAAAATTATGACATTTTTTGACAAAATAACATTAAGATTTTGGATTTTCTTACAATATTCTTTAGATTTACGTAGATTATATTTAAAAAAATAACTACAAAACAAACATTGTTTATAAACAAATTACTTATATTGTCTTCTTCAGATTTATTTTTTTCATTAATTTCAATAATTTGAAGAAAGTATAAGGATAAAATGCAGACTTCTTCAGATTAATGTTTTCATTGAATTATAGAAGTAAAAATGGAGATTCTATAAAAAATCTCTTTTTACAAAATGATTGCAATTTTAGGGGGGAAAACTTAGTATACTTTAGATGAAAAAAATTACTATTGCATGGGATAGTTTTGAACTGTTCAAGATTAGTGTGCATAAGTAAATATATTATGTTTCTTCTGTTAAAGGGAAAACACTGATGACGAAAGGTAACGGTTTTTTTTTGCATGTGATTTTATAGCGTGTGCTTGCTTGTAGCGAAAAAATACAAACTTTTATTGCTTTGCTGCTAAAAGCCGAAAAAACTTAAACATAAATACAGAATAATTATAGAAATCTTGAGCTTGATTAATTTATTGATGTTTATAACTTTAATATGTTGCATGGATTTCGTAGAAATGCGAAATTATTCACGGAACTAACAGTTTCCGGGCTCTAAAAGCCAATTACCCCTTTTAAACGAGTATGCAAATGCGTTTCCAGAAAATACGAAATGCCGTTTGGAATACTATTGGCGAACAAACGCAAAATGCCGTTCGGAATACGTAATCGAAATGTGTGTGTCTGCGTGTGTTTTCTGTGGCCATTCAACAGCAGATAAACTACATACATAATACATGATCAAGAGATTAACAATAAATAACATAAAATACATTCCGAAGTGCGAATTTCCCACGTAAATAAAAACCGACGATTTCAGTAAAAGCGCACGATGGAAATAAAAAAAATAAACGCGAAAGAATAATACAGGCAGTAAAAATGTTTGTGCGTTTTACTTTCACATCGAACATGAGGGAGGAAATCTAATTGATATTTTAGGTGCATTTTCGATGTTTCTTTTCGTTTAATTTCAGTGTTTTAATATGGAAATTACAATTTTAACTAAGTAATTAATGATTGAAGAATGTTGTTTCAAATAATGTTAAATTTTTAAAGAAAATCATATAATTTTCTTTTCTTTTAGTTCTTTTAAAATGCACACATTTCTATAACTAAAATTTGACAAACATTAGAAAAAAAATTAAATTAGAAGAAATTTTATGAGGATTTTTTTGATTTGATGTTAGAAATTAGAAAAAAGAATCATAAAAAATTTCATTTTGATAACATTTTGTAATATTGTAACTAAAAAAATCTTAGAGAAAAGTAGAAAAATATTCATTACGATTTTCATTTTGATATCATTTGTGGTATTTAAAATCGAAAAGTATCCTTTTGTAGGATTTACCTAAATTTAACATAACTCAAAGATTTCATTTCAAAAAATTTTAAGGGAAATTATAAAAAAACTTGAGGATTTTCTTTTTAACAAAATTTGAATAATATTATAATCAATAACTGATATTTAAGCTTGTAAAGTATTCAATTGTATAGTAAATCTAATTTGAACATCATTCAAAGATTTCTCTTAAAATAATCTTAAGGAAAATTTGAAAATTATTTTATTTTTAATTGATTCAATTATAAAGAAATATAAGGATACAAAAAAAGAGAATAAATGTTAATAAGTGAAGTGTTCTTTTTTTTACTTAAATTTTACATAACTTAAAGATTTCATATCAAAAAATCTTAATGGAAATTAGAAAAGAAAAACTTGAGGATTTGCTTTTTGACAAAATTTGTAAAATATTATAATCAATAACTGATATTTAAGCTTGTAAAGTATTCAATTGTATACTTTAATCTAATTTGAACATCATTCAAAGATTTCTCTTACAAATATCTTAAGGAAAATTTGAAAATTATTTTATTTTTAATTGATTGAATTACAAAGAAATATAAGGATACAAAATAAGAGAATAAATGTTAATAAGTGAAGTGTTCTTTTTTTTACCTAAATTTTATATAACTTAAAGATTTCATATCAAAAAATCTTAATGGAAATTAGAAAAAAAAAACTTGAGGATTTGCTTTTTGACAAAATTAGTAAAATATTATAATCAATAACTGATATTTAAGCTTGTAAAGTATTCAATTGTATAGTTAATCTAATTTTACATCATTCAAAGATTTCTCTTAAAAATATCTTAAGGAAAATTATTTTATTTTTAATTGATTCAATAATAATGAAATATAAGGATACAAAATAAGAGAATACATGTTAATGAGTAAAGTGTTTTGAAATAATTTCAAACTTTGTTTTACTTTATAAAATTAAGAATGTTGTGATTTGTTTGTGAGTTTCGGAGAAAAGTTGCGCTTCTACACATGATCGCCAAATTGTTTTTTTTTATTAGTCCGGGAGAAATTGCCTTGACATTAATGCGAGTGGTGTGTTTTTTGGGAAAGTATTGATTTTTGCCAAAAGGAGGAAGCTGCACAAAAAAAAGGAACATTGGTTATGCAGACGAATTACTTCATGGTCGAAAAATCTGTACGGCAGACGACGGCGGCGCGGATTGGTTTGAGGCCAATTAGCGGATTTCGTTGCATTTCTATTTATAGAGGCGACGCCAAAAAAATCGGCGGCAAAACAATCATAATAATAATAATAGCGATAATGGTATGATAGAGAAGCTGAGGAAGGATTCGAATCCGATGAGAGAAAGAGAGATGGATTAGTTGAAACAAAGAAGTGATGATGATAGAAGAGAAAGAGACGAAGTGGCATAGGTTCATCTCTAGCTACTAGACTCGAAGCTAGAAAGAAAACGAGCGAGCGACACGTGGTCGATAGATTAATCATTGTCCGTCTGAGTCTGAGCTCCGTCTCGTCTAGGCGGTGAACTTTCAAACGGCTGCTGCGTCTGTCCTTCTTTTTACAAACACACACACACTCCCCTCCTCATCCACTCCATCATCAGCTTCGGCCTCTTCCAGTCTATTTCATCATTTCTCCTCTTGCTATTATTACTAGCACCAAGATTGACGAGCTCCTTTGCACAGGTCACAGCTTTACAACCACCCCATTTCCATTAAAACCAACACATATTAAATTGATCTTCTTCAGAAAACGTGCACTTTTGTTATGATACCTATTACTTCTTTACTAAATAATCAATGAAACAAATAAACGCATTTTTTTAAATTAGTTATTAACTTAATTTACATTCAAAACGTATAAATTCAACAAATTTCATTCAAGCCTACGTAAATCCCATCAATCAATAATTAAATGCTTGCACTAGGAATGTCTGCAAATTGCAGCTTGATTCAATTAAATCTCGCTTACTTTGTATATGCATATAAACGAGATTGCTTATTAATTGCAAATTTTGCTCAGATCATTTTGAAAAGCTGGTTTAAAGCAGCAAGTAAATAATTGCATTCCTCATAGAACGGACGTAAGTAGAACGAAAGTTTTTTTTTTCTTCTTAATTTGTTGTGATGGAAAATGTAGTAAGTAGACGTGTTTTTGGGACTCTGCGAAAAGCGTTTGAAGAAGACGTGGGTTTTCTCTTTTTTGGTTTTTCCCGTCTGTTGATCGAGTGCAGAAAGGAAGACAACGAGAGAGACGGGAGAGTGGAGGAAAAATAAAAGGAAAGAGAGAAAAATGCACATTCCCGTACATGCAATTTCCTCATCTCCTCCATCCATCCGCAAACAACATCACACACTAGACTCGCAGACAGGTTTTTGTCTAGCATCTAACTATATGTACACAGACAGGACGGACGGGCCCGCCGCTCTTTTTCTTCCTCTCAAATACAGACGCGGAGGTCTGTCTACACTTTTCCGTTGCGGCCGGCCACCTCGACGTTTTCCTTCCCTCCCTCATCAACTAAATCCCGGTGCAAATCCGTTCTCCCGTTTCACGCCTATCCACTTCTTGTTGTTGTTGATGTTGTTGTTGTTGGTGGTGATGTTGTTGCGTGGCAGCGGTTCTCCACTCCAAGAAGCATCGCCGCTCTCTTTCTGCTCTCCTACTCCTATATAATTTATTAGTTATAAATTACTCCATAGTTTTTAATACAGTCGTCTAGACAGTGTATTGACCTATGTATTCATAGGTATATAGTGCTATGTGTAGTAATAGATGCACACTCACATCCACTCTCTCAGCCACATTGTAGAAGTCCGATAGTACGTAGTGTTTTCGCGCCAGGCCATTTCACTTCGACGACTTCAACACCAACACCACCTTATTCCTTCTTATTTTCTTTCTTTCCTTCATCAAAACCATAATTATCAAAACCATTTATTCTCACCAACAATTTAACTTTCTACAATCAACATCTTTCCTCAATTAAAACTACATCTTCATTCATTATAACACAAAACAATTACAATTTCTTATATTTATTCATTCACAACGACTTCAACTTAACAATAAGAACATCTTCTCTATAAAATGAATACACTAAAACTTAAGAGATTTATTCAACTTAATATTGACAGCATCTTCATTTGCAATTCAATTTTTCTACATTAACCATGAAAAATATTACATCTTAAGCCAACTACAACTTAATAAGTTTCTACACTTCATTTGTTTTCCATGTCCAAGGAGATACGTTGCGTTGCAGAACGCGGTGCAACAAATTCGCACAAATTCCTTCGACGCTTTAGCTAAAAATAGTCGTGACTATTTTTAATTCCCGAATAAAATGTGGAAGAGTTCGACTACACGTTTTTAAACAGTATCAACGTCCAAAAATAACAACACATTTCTCAAATTAATTAATGAATACTTATTTACAAAGAAACATCGCTTCGATCAGTGCGGTTTCGCTATAGCACAAATTTGAAACAAACTAAATTTTAATTGAGGAAAGTAAATGTAAATTCTGAAAAATGATGACTCTATTAGTCCGGCTTCGAACAGTGTTGGATATTGACGGTACCGCACTATACGAGGTATTGTTGTATGTAGATTATTAATTATAGCTTGCAATTTGCTTAAAGTTTGTGCATTAGACATTACAGTTTTGTGCATGGCTTACGAAAATAATGATTGTTTTACTTTGTATTTAGATAGGAAACAATATCTGCATGTTTTTTGTAAATTCTTGATATAAGAAATTTTAGACTGATGATGGTATACATTTTGCAGAGCCCGAGATCAATGGAGAGATCATCTGATGTTCAGCATCTTGAAAGGATTGGGACGCATCAATTCCACAGTTCCGGAGAACGTCAATCTTGAGAAGATCAATATAAAGAAGATGATCCACAACTTCGAGAACAATACCGTCAGACAGACGGACGATAGTTCCGTCACGGAGAAGATCAGAAGTTTCTATCCATCATGTGAGTACCATTAATTGAATATTGAACTTCGGAAAAATTTTATATTGTTGTTGTTGTTGTTCATTAGGTAATGTACCGAATAATACTGATGCGGATATGTGGAAGAAAAACAACGAGATGAATCTGTTCTTCGATTTGAACAATTTGGAAGGAAGCATTGCCTCACTGTCGATCAGATTGTACAGGGCTACACCTCACAACGGTACTGGTCCAGTAGAGAAAAACTGCGAGAATCGCACTGGTGAGGAAGAAAAGCTGTTCAGGGTCTCCGTTTTCTACTACACCAAGACTCTCCGTAAAACTAGAGGTAATAAATCATATTGTGTTACGTCTTAGATAGTTTTGAATCAATATGCAGTTAATCTTATGTTATTGTTTGTTCTGTAGTTAAGCGTCGTCTTTGCGACAGCGTGGTGATCAGCGAGCAATTCAATTGGGTCGAGTTGAACTTACAATCGGCGATTAAAGCGTGGAGCAAGGGAAAGAACGCAGGACTTGCTGTCGTAGTCGACGATCAGGAAGGAGGACTCTTGTGTCCCGAGAAGATCTTCAAGGGACCAGCATGCACGGTTGGATCGTGTGAGTGTGCAATAACAACATTAATACCTAATCGAATGGAATGCGGAATGAGCAATGAAACTAAACCCATTCTAAACTACATACTAAAGCATCTTAAACGATTTCCATATGTTTTGTTTTTTCTATATTAAGACATACGTTCTTTTACCTCTCTCCCTTAACGCAGAGGACAAAGAATGGATACAAGAGGAACACCCTTTGATTTTATTGTTGTTTGATGTTTTGGAGTTTTGTTTGTAGCAAATTAAGACGTTCTTTCTATTGCCTTTAATTTGACAAAACAGAGATAGTTTATAGTTGTGTTTCTCAACATTTTCTTCCAATTGCTAAGAGTATTTCTCCCTTAACGCAGAGGACAAAGAATGGATACAAGAGGAACACCCTTTGTTTTTATTGTTGTTTGATGTTTTGTTTGTAGCAAATTAAGACGTTCTTTCTATTGCCTTTAAAATTGACAAAACAGAGACAGTTTATAGTTGTGTTTCTCAACCTTTTCTTCCAATTGCTAAGAGTATTTCAGGTTCTGACACAAGGTGACAGCTGACATTTAACAATTTTGGACCTATAGATTGAGAAACGCTGATTTGTGGAGGACAAATAATGGAACCTTCTTACTCTTTTCAATACTTGATTGTTATTTTGTAATTTTCGTTTGCAGCGACGCCGAAACCTATACCAACAGTACTCCTCGACCCTACAAGAGCGCTCGAACAATTCGGACTTAATAGGGTTGATGGAGGAGATGCAACGCCGTCCTCTGCTCTCAGTTCGCCTCTGCTCCCAACCTTAGATGTCTGCACGCTCGATTCGCCCGACATCGACAAGGAGAAGCTCGGTCAGAGGGGTTGCAGCCTGAAGCGCCTGCACGGTGATCCGCAGAAGAGGGTGGGAAGGATGGCCCATGAATCCTTGACCATGCCATCCGAAAGACACATCCGCCATCAGAAGCAGCATCTCACCGACAGGAGGCGTCCAGTCGAGATCCTGAACGACCCGCGTTCTCACATCATCAAGCATCAGGTCGTGCTAACCAGCGATCAGCTGCAGAACTTCAATCAGGACAATTTCAATTTAACTAAAATCAATAGATAAATATATCATTTAGCCCCTAACATTAACAATATTAATATAAATTATTATCATTAATCGTTGTTATTGTTTCTATTTTAATTTTAGTCTTAGTTATTTCTTTTTTATAGCTTCAGTAGATTGAGTGACATATAGATTTAATACGTAACGAATACGAAATGGACTCGTACATTTCTATTATTTTTAATTATTTTTTAGTTTATTCTCGAATAAAAGACTGCGCGCAATTGTTGATACCAAACTCATTATTTTCATCTACTTAGGTTACTTTTTTTTTTCTATCACTCATTTTCGTATCATTCATTCATTCATCTTTAATTCAATCAAATTCATTATCTTTACGAAATTTGTATTCATTTCACTGTTATTTTGTTTCCCAAATTTTACCTGTGTATCTTTTAATATGTTTGTTTTTTTCATCGTCTTCACATACAATTACTTTGTATATATTGTATATTAATGTAATATTTAAGAAGTTTTTGTTTGTTTTAATCAATAAATGGAGCCAAATGGACAGCGGATGAACGCGAAACAATAAAATATTTGTTAAGATTTTATTTATATATAAAAAAAAAAACAACAATAACCTTTCATTTCCAATACACAACAACTGTTATTTATTAAATAAAAGTTTTACATGTACATAAATCATATTTGAATCAAATTAACTTATAACAAAATGGACTCCAAATTCAAAGTATAGTTGATATAAACAAACGTTTTGATTGGTTGTTTGTTACCGACATTTTGAAATGTAACTAAATGCAAATGGCCTCCAATCGTAAACTTTTCACATCTAAACATAAACAAAGTTTTCCTTAATATTTCAAATGAATATTACTCATATGTAAATATTTATATAATTTGAACTCTATAAACAGCATCAAATTAAGTTAATTGGAAAACAGATCAATTTATCAATAAAGTTCTATAAATGGTATTTTTTCCAATATTCTTTAGTTGAGTAAAATCGTATACGATTATATAAGTAGCGTAGATAACCAACTGGGCAAAGTACTTCTTCTTTCGTAACGTTATGAACTTGGCTGCGTTGCATAGGGCCCGAGTTCATTCGAATTGCTCTGCTTTATTTTGGTCACCTGTCAGATTTTGGAGCAATAATCCTCGAGCATAAGGATCCAAGCAATTTTCCCAACATCCGAACTGTTGATTTTCAAACATTAATGGAGTGCGCATCAGATGGAACCATCATAAGAGGTAACTTTAAAAGTAAACTTTCAAACTAACCTGAAATTCGAAATGGGGGCGCAGTCAAAGAGTTGGACAGGAGTTTTACAATTCCGAAGCGTCGGGGGGAGCAGAGTCTCCTCCCTGCCACAGGACAACAGCCTGACATTGAGCACAAATCGATCTTGCAAGCTGATTGCGATGAAGTCTTGAAAACACTGAAAAGACCTGCCAGTGATTACAGGAAGAGTGCAGATGTTGTCCAACATCACAACAGACCTAGTGAGTATGAATGTGATTTCTTTATTACTAAATTGAATTAGGCATTGTGCTGGGAGGTGACCTGACAGATACTTCATTGCCGAAGGAATTGAGGGATCAGATACAGCCATTGTATTGTGGTGTATGTAAAGTTCAACTGATCAACTCGATTAGTGCTAAAATACACTATGCATCTAAAAACCATGATAAGAATATTAGGAAGTTTTTGATTTCCTATTCCTTCCGGACCGGGGAACCATTGCACAAGAGGGCCAGATGGGATAAGAAGCCTATTTCTGATGTATTCATCAAATATATTAAGCATTTACAAAATTATTAAGTTAATGATTGTTTTAGGATAATGATCCAAAATATTTCCACTGCAAAGCTTGTGATCTTCCACTGACAGGAAAAGCTCATGCAGAATCACATTACATGGGGAAAATCCACCAAAAGTATACTTTAAATGAAACCCTATATATTTATCTTCATTTCGTATTATCTTGCAGAGTTATCAGTGGGACGAGAAAACCAGCAGGAAGAGGATACATCGATAACTCTGGACATTGGAAACGAAGGTAATTATAAACTTTAATGTACATTTCAAATACATCTTTTTTAGTTTCATCCAAATCGATCCGAGCGGCAGAGACGGTTTTGGTGCTGGTTTTGCGGCGCTCGAAAACCACCCTGAAAAAGTGAACTCTTTGAGCTGCGATCTCTGCCACGTGAAGGTAACATCTTATCCGCAGATGGAAAATCACATTCAAGGAAGCAAGCATCAGAAGAAACTCAGGAACACCTCTTTCATTCAAACGATTACGACGAATCCCAATGAACCAGGTAATAGTACAATTAATCTTAACATTAACTTTAAACTTGAAAGGTAACAGATTTTAGCACGTATCGCACGCCGAGTGGACAGTTCTATTGCAAGAACTGCAACATCGTCATGAATTCCGATACCCAATTCACCAATCATTTGCAAAGTCGTAACCATCTGAAGAATCTCGAACCGAAAAGTCCAAGTGAATGAAGATGCCAATTTTAACGCTTTAATTTTTGTTTGTTTAACAACATTCCTTATTAGTTTTGTGTGAAAAACCTGAGATTATTTGTTATTATTTTATTTAGATCTAGGTGTGTGTCTGTATTTATTGTGTGTACCAAAGTGTTAATGTTTTCAAAAGATTTTAAATGGATTGAACAAATAAATGTGTGTAATTTTCATAAATTGATAATTTAATTTCAATTTTTAATTATTCCTGTAAACATAATTAGAAAATTAATAATCGTTAATACGAATTTAACTAATAATTTATCTTATGTGCATATTTGGTTGCCTATGTCACATGATAAAATGCAGTGCCAATCGCAAGCCCGACAACCGAAATCCCGATACAATAACATTTTTATGGTAGTCGGGATTTCTATATAGTCGAGATTTTGATTGTCGGGATTTCGATATAGTCGGGATTTCGATACAGTCGGGATTTCAATAGACGGTCTTTCGATTGTCGGGATTGCGATATAGACCCGATAAAATGATGTATTTTGCAAATTCCAATAGAATTTTAAAATGTATTAAACATTTACTTAATTACTTAGTAAATAGTTTATTTTTCAGTCAAATAATTACAGATTATGAATCTTTCACTAAAATTTATCTTAATTTAAAATAATTATAACTTCTGTCCAATTTTTTAAATTGATTAAATTGATTAAATATTTCATTAATTCCTTTATAATAGCTTAGGAAAATGAACCAAAACATAAATTTATGTAGTTAACTTAATAGTCTTCAAATGCAGACAACAAAATTTCTTTAAATTTGAAATGAAAATATATAATTCCAATTGAGAAATTTTGCTTATTTTTTATTAAATATTTCAATAAATCCTATAGAAACATTACAAATGTATAATGTTTTATAATTGCCTTCAGGTGTAGACAATTACGAGTAAATTTCAATATATAAATTTTGAAATTTACTCATTATTAATGTAGATTATAACTAATAATAATATAAAATTGAATTGGTTAAAATTTTCGTTTTGGCAATTAATTATCAATTGTGGTTTATGAAATTAACAGGAAAATAAATTACGAAAAGTAATTGGTATAATTTTCAAAATTTTCGTGAATGTTTTTTGATATTTTCTGCAAAAAAAATCCAAATGATGTCATTGTCTTAATACTTTGACTATTAAAGAAAGTACACATAATTCTTACGTTGGGAAGCGATTAAGTAAACAGGACTCGTCCGTTCACTACAACAAAATAAAAAAAATAAATAAATAGACAACGAGTCGACTCTCCTTCCTTCGAGCGGAGAAGGCAGCAAGTGGAGATCGTAAAAAAAGATTACATATTTATATTTCTAATAACGGACACGAATACTTTGTATTAGTTCAATAAACCACGGAACCGTGGATAATTGTAAATTACACGACGACTCCCGGAGATCAGCCTCCTCCGCAACCTCATGATCATCATCAAAAAAATAGAAAATCTCAAACACAAATGAAAAAGAACAAAAAAAAAAGAAGTATATAATATATAAATTACGCAGAGGGCATTAACGTTTCTTCTTCATCTACGTTTTTTTTTCCTTATTTCTCTCCATTTCAACCTCTTTTATTCTCATACTCGGTGTTTACGTGTTCACATCCAAACTTCCTGTGTAATTAAAAACAAAACGCTCTAATTAATCCCATTCATGTCGCCGAATGTTTCTTTGTAATGTAATTTAACGATGATTTTTCTTTTTTTTTTTTCAAAAATTGTTTTCTTTTTTTGTTGGTTTATTTAATGTCATTAATAATTTCGGCTCGTGTTTACGAGCGAAAACATTAATTTCCGTTTATTTTCAGTCATGTTTTCAACGTGGGTTGAAGAGTGAGAAAAGTACAAAAAAAATGATGTAGATTAAACCTGGTTTATCGAATTAGATCAAATCGATTATGAACGCGCGGTTTATTTCATAATTTCAATTAATTCTATAATTAATAGTTAATTTTGCCCGAGGGCTGCGGAGGTCGCTGTTGAATAATTGGAATCCCCCTGATGTGTTTACTGGTGGTTTCATCAGGCGAAAATTACTGTTGAAAAATCGTTAACGTTTTCCCCATCACGATTTTTCAAGAACTGAAGTACAGTGGAACCTCGAGCATTTCGCATAATGGATTGTAAGAAAAATTTTGCGTCTGCTATATCATTTTTAAAACTTGTGTACACATATTTTTGTATATGTTTCATTATACGAGTAAAAATCCGGAAATTTTGGAACGTTAAGCGAGGTTCCACTGTATTAGATTCGGATATTGAAGTTTACTAAAGTATAGAAATCTACGCTTTGGGGAATAAATGAGAGAAAGAGAGGAGAAAACAAAGAAAGTCTTAACTAATTATGTCCATTTGTCAGGGCGTTGCGTGCGTTTTGAGATAAAAAGAAATAGCGACATTTTTTTTTCCAAGAGAAATATAATCCATTGCGTCGTTTAATGTCGAGCAAGTGTAACTCGGCTGGAGATATCGCGTTAAAAATGAGATATATCGAAAATCGTTCTGTAATGAAATGTGAGTTGCGTAAATCACTGCAAGATTTAATTAAGTTTTTCTGTCTTAAGATAAACAAGTTGCTTTGAGGTTCTTTTTTATTATTAATAATTTAAAGACTTTAAATGCTTTAATTTAAATTATATTAATTTATTTGTAAAATTGATGATTTTTTTTTTTCTTAACATTTTCCATTAAAGTTAATAATTTGATAAAAAATGTTCAAATTTTCTTATTTTATCCAAAATTTTCAAAATTTTATTATAAAACTAACTAAGAAAATTATGTTTTTTTTGTAGCAATTTCAATTAGAAATATTCAATTCAAATTTTCTAATGGTTTTATTTTGTATAATGTTTGAAAATTAAGATTTTCCAAATTTCTTATATTTTCTAAAATTTTCTCCAAATTATCTATGAAAAAGATGATTTTCTATATTAATTACATTTTTCCTTAATAATTTTGAATTAAAACATGGAATTTTCTTATGTTTCCAAATATTTTCTCCAAATTAACTATGAAATCGATAGTCTTCTACAATAATTTCAATTTAAAAAATTAAAAATTCTCTATAATTAAACTAACTAAGAAATAACGTTTCTAAATTATGGTTTTTCATAGCAATTTCAATTTTAAATATTCAATTCAAATTTTCTAATGGTTTTTTTTCAAAATTTTCACCAAATAAAATTAATTAAATATTTCAAAAGTAGAATTATTCAAATTTCTTAAATTGTTTAAAATTTTCTCTAAATTATCTTATTAAAACATCGAATTTTCTTATGTTTCCCAATATTTTCTCCAAATTAACTATGAAAAAGATAGTTTTCTACAATAATTTCAATTTTAAAAACTGAATTACAATTATCGAAATGAAATAAAATAAACAATATTTGCAACTAAATAATTGAATCTTGTTTTCTCTAAATAAATCGTATACTTTCGAAGGTTACGATTAATTAAAAAAAATCTATCTCATAGAGAAATGTCTGATTGCAATTATTAATAGAAAATGTGGGAGCAATGCAGTAGTTTATTTAATCTACGTAACGCTAATTTCCTTGTACCATTTCTAACTATCTGCAGAATTCTGGACTAAAAAAAAAGCATAAATTGCGCTTATGTAAGCCGAGGTCGAGTCAAGCCGCGTTGATTGAAATGGAAGGAAAAGCAGGAGCGAGAAAGATGGAGAAAAGCGAACAAAGGAGGCAAAGTGCAGTTCCTTTGCAGCAATAACAATAACAACAAACAGGCAGCAAACAGAAACAATAAAGCAAACTCATTCGAGGTGCAAATAAACCAATTAGCATAGATAGCGAGCATTTATTTATATTCGCGTTATTCATAATTTATTTATACGCTTTGTCGATAACGAAACTAATGGTATTTCCATAATAATTCATTTATAAAACGGATATCTTGTCTTTATTAATTGTATTATATTAACATCAATTTGTTCCTGAAATACCTTGGATTTCAAGAATATAGTCAACATTTTAATAACACGGTTAATTTGATTCAAAAATCGTGTTATACGAATTCAAATCCATATACAAAGGAAAAGATGATCTTAGTAAAAATTGTGAAAAAGTATACGTTAAACAAAACCGTGTAATTGAAGTATCGTGTTATACGATTTGATTTTTGAACGTGTTATTCGTTATACATAACAAAGGTATAAAGATGTAGTTTATTATTAAAGTCTATAAAGAAGTGAAATAGATTAATTAAAATAGATTTCAAGAATCTAGTCATCATTTTAATAACACGGTTAATTTGATTCAAAAATCGTGTTATACGAATTCAAATCCATATAGAAAGGAAAAGATGATCTTAGTAAAAATTGTGAAAAAGTATACGTTAAACAGAACCGTGTAATTGAAGTATCGTGTTATACGAATTGATTTTTGAACGTGTTATTCGTTATACATAACAAAGGTATAACGATGTAGTTTATTATTAAAGTCTATAAAGTCTATAAAGAAGTGAAATAGATTAATTAAAATAGATTTCAAGAATCTAGTCATCATTTTAATAACACGGTTATTTTGATTCAAAAATCGTATTATACGAATTCAAATCCATATATAAAGGAAAAGATGATCTTAGTAAAAATTGTGTAAAAGTATACGTTAAACAAAACCGTGTAATTGTTGTGTGTTAACAAATTAATTTTTAAACGTGTTATTCGAAACTCCGTGTATCTCAAGCGTTATTTATGTCCATGTAGTAAATCTTCACTTCGTTTTATGTAATTTCATCTACTTCAAACTGTTGTTGCAATGCTTTGGGTTTCAGGGAAAAAATCATTCTGAAATGGTAAATTTGAATTATTTGTATTACATTTCTTACAAATCTTTGGTATTTTTTAACTAATATTTAATTTTCAATTGGTAAATTTGACTTTTTTTGTAAGAAATTTTGCTTTTGAAATGCGTTTGGATTTCTGAAAAATTCTGTGTATTTTTATCAATTTTTGCACTGAAATTTCAGAAATCCCTCATTTCCAATTGATAAATCTGGAATTTAGTTTTGTGACAAACTTCAATTTCGTTTCTTGAAATGCGTGTGGATTTCTGAAATTACTTCTTTATAGTTTTATCAACTTTAATCTGATTTTTTAATGAATTTTCAGAAATCTTTCATTTTCAATTGGTAAATCTATAACAAACTTCA